AACCCTAAACCCTAAACCTTTAAATCTGAAAACGCTTTCGAGGCCTGGGGTTGCTTAGACTGTGCGGCTTTAAGGACCGTAACGGCATACGTTCATTCTCACCCATGTTTCCTCAACCCTCAACGAAACCCTCAGTACCCGCCTATTTTAAAAACAACAAATACGAACTGCACATGTAGTACCTAAACAGAAAATAAATATAAATGTACATATATACACACTACAATGTAACCAGGAACCTCATTCGAGTTGTGAACGCCCTGCAATACCTTCAATCCGGAACAGAAACTGCAGTCCCATTCCGGAACTATCTCTCCTCCCTCATCCCGAGACTACCAAAAGGGACATACCCTACCCTTCTTTAAAGTACCTAGTTTTATGATTAGGAGCTGTTATATAAAAAATAGGTACCATAAAAAAGGGGTAGGGTATGACCCTACAGGTATAGTTGAGAGGGTAGCCACAAGCTAGATGTAGGGTTCAGGAGCTTCAGTTTCGGCCTGCCGAAGTCTTACGGAGTCCGAGGGGCATGAACCGAACATGGGCAAAAGGTAACGGTACGGTTAGGGTTTAGGGTCTAGGGTTTAAGTTTAGGATGTAAGGATAGGGCCCAGGGCCCAAACCCCAGTCCAAAATCAAGTCCTGCAAGCAACCCCTTCAGGACAGTATGAACCTCAGATAAAGCATGGCCGCTGTCTCTCTGCCATTTCACTACCCGCAAACTCCAAACTTCATCACCTCCAAAACCCTAGAACCCAAGACCCTGAATGTGCAACATAGGGCCCTAAGGACATCTTATAGTTAGACTAGGGTTTGGAGGTATTGTATAGCTTTTTGAACAAGGAACCCTGAGGGAATATTATTGGCTTCTATCCAGGCCCCTATGTATGCCCACAGCCGGAGCAACATCTCAGCTCCTCTAAAACTACTCAAGTTACACCAAAGCCGCACCCCCTCACCCTATAAACCATAAGCCCTAAATCCTCAGCCCTAAACCCTAGACCCTAAAACCTGAACCCCTAACACCTTAGCCCTAACAACTGAACCTGAAACCCTAAAGCCATGCACCCTGGGACTCCAACAGAACTTCAAGGTGATGGAACCATCCGAATCTGCCAGCAAGAGCACCTGAGATCCACACATTTAGTATTTAGGGATTTTTAGGGATAAGCTTTAAACCTAAGGGCTTAGAGTTAAGCGTGAAGGGTGCAGGATGGTTTAGGGTTTAGGCGCTATAGGGCTTAGAGGGGATGCCTGTGATTTTGGAACGTGGGGTTTAGGGGAGGTCTTGCCTCGGCTTGCGTGTTGGTTTAGGTTGCAAGGTCCTAGGTTGCGGGGAAGTCCTACTGCAGCGATGTATTAAGTACTGTTGATGATAGAAGTCCTGCATTACCTTATACAAGGGCCCTAGACTATGGGAATTATGGTATGTTCCTTATTATGGGTAATGGTACTGCAGGATTTAGATCATCAACCGTAGTACGGCCTACACAGCGCACCTCCGAATCACAAAACCTTACAGCACAAGGCTTGGGGCTTAAAGAACACCCTGTAAGCCCCCCCATACTGTACGGGCCTTAATAATTCAATGGGTTTTGTGCTCACTCGTAGTAGAACTATCAAATTGAACCTGAAGGAAAAATATTTCATACATTACATGAACCTAAAACCCTAAATCCTAAACCCTATAAGCCCTAAACCCTGCACCCTAAACCCAAAGCCCTAAACCCCACATTACATGAACCTCATACCCTAAACCCTAAACCCACGTTAGATGAAGCTTACTATAGGGGCCTTAATAATTAGAATAAGGTTTTTGGTATGCTATATTATAATTATGATAAGGAAACCCCCAAAACACTATTCTATTTATTAAGGCCCCTAAACCCTAAACTTAGTAGCCCTTATAGAACCCCTCAAGGAACCCTTGAAAGTAGCCCCAAAACCCTATTCTAATTGTTAAGGCCCTACACTATACCTGGCAGCTTTTGTCTTCTTTTCTCATGGCTTCCGTCAGCCGGAAGCGAAGCCCGGCCTGGAGGAGGTGAGACTCGTGTCTAGGGTTTGGGGTTTCGGGGTTTAGGGTTTAGGGTTTAGGGTTTGGGGATTAGGGTTTAGGGATTAGGGTTTAGGGCTGAGGGATTAGGGTTCAGGGTTTAGGGCTGAGGGTTTGGGGGTCAGGGTATAGGGTTTGGGGATTAGGGTTTAGGGATTAGGGTTTACGGTTCAGGGTTGAGGGTTTGGGGTTTAGGGACCCCAACTCCTCAGCCCCAAACACCTGAAACCTCGGCCTAAACCCTCACCCCCTGGACCCTTAAACCCCTCATAGAACCCTTACAAGGATCTGAGAACAAACAAGCATACACCCCCTAAGCCCCAAACCCTGAACGATAAACCCTCAACCCTACACCCTATACCCTAAACCTTAAGCCCTAAAC